AGCAAGGTTTCCTTGAACGTAATGACCAAGACACTTTTAAAATATATTTGGAAGAAAATAAGGTCAACATATTCTCAACTCTGAAATGAGTGAGTTTAGATACTGATACAGTTAGGGTCTGCCCAGGAAAACAGAAACTATATCAAATATTTACATCAGTTTAAGAAGTTAATGAAAAGAATTTGATACATAACTGATGGAGGATTTGAGGGTCAAACAGGGAAGAGTGAAGTGACCCAAAGATTAGCAACAGCAAGAAGTGACTACCAACCCTTGGTTGGAGAGAGAAAAGGAGGCAGTGTTACCGGAGCCCAAAGGCCTGGGTTCCCCAAAGGAGCTGAAAAACTGAAAGAGCTTAGACCCTCTTCCTTTAGAATATACCCACAGAACCCAGTTGGAGAAATCATGATTTAAAAACGAAACTAGAATAAAAAAGGGGGCAAATTACCTGAACAGACATTTCTCCAAAGATGAACAGATGGCCAATAAGCATGTGAAAAGATGCTCAATATCATTAGTCATCAGGGAAATGCAAGTAGAACCACAAGGAGATATCTTTTTATACCCATTAGGACAGTTAAGTATAAAAAAAGCCACACAAAATAAACAAATGTTAAATTATAAGTGTAGGTGAGGATGTGGAGAAATTAGAACCCTCACGTACTGCTTGTGGGAACATAAAATAGTATAACTGCTGTGAAAGGGCAGGTGACTCCTCAAAAATTTTAAAAGAGAAGTATCATACAAATCAGCAATTCTACTCCTACGTATATACACAAAAGAACTGTAAACAGGGATTCAAACAGATCTTGTATAACCATGTTCATAGCAGCATTATTCACAACAGTTGAAAAATGGAAACAATCCAAGTGTCCATAAGTAGATGAATGGATAAGCAAATGTGGTGTATACATACAATGGGGTATTTTTCAGTCTTAAAACGGAATAAAATTCTGCCCTGGCCGGTGTGCTCAATGGTTAGAGCATCGGCCTATGCACTGAAGGGTCATGGCGTCAATTCCTGGTCAGGGCACATATCTGGGTTGCAGGTTTGATCCCTGGCCTTGGTTAGGGTGTGTGCAGGAGGCAACCAATCCATGTGTCTTTCTCACATTGATGTTTCTCTCCTCTCTCTCCTCCTACCTCCTTCCTTTCCACTCTGAAAAGCAATGGGAAAAATATCCTTGGGTGAGGATTAATAACACTAACAAAAAGGAATAAAGTTCTGATATATTCTTCAAACTTTGAAAACATGCTAATTAAAATACGTGGGATATAAGAGGACAGTTATTCTATGATTCCACTAATATGAAGTATTTAGAATAGTCAATTTCATAGATACAGAAAATAGAATAGTGGTTGCCAGGGGTTGGAGAGAGGAAGGAATGAGAGTTATTAATAGGTGGAATTCTGTTTGGGATGAAGAAAACGTTCTGAAAATAGACAGTGGAGATGATTATACAATATTGTGAGTGTACTTAATGCCACTCATTGAATTGAATACTTAAAAATGACTAAGATGGTAAATTTTGTTATGTATATTATGCCAAAATAAAAATATTTTAAAAATTAGATTTGCATTGAATAAAAATATTTCAATTATGAGTTATCACTGTAAAACAAAGTTATGCCTTTAAAATTGGCAAAATAATTTTTTAAAAGCTCATTAAAAAATACTGAGCATATTATGCAGCCAAGATTAAGAAACACTGCCACATGCTATTATCAATCAATATATCTATATTTGTAAGTATGTGTTTTTTTATTGTTCCCAAAAGGAGTACATTAATATTTACCATTAGTGATGGAAATATGACTTTTCATTAGGTACTCTGATCTATGACCATGGATAGTCATTAACAAGGCCAACCATATTGGAAACTGTGTTTTTCTGAATATGACAGGCATATTTGTACCAGATGGAATGAGACATATGCACTGCATAAAAACAGTGTTCAGCTCACTGCAACGAGCAGTTATAACAAGTATTTCCAATACTAAGCTCTTCAAAATTCACTACATTTTGTTGATTATTCCCATTCTATACTTCTATCAGGTCAGT